ACTTTGTGACGGAGACTGCTGCCGTCGAGGAGAAGTTCATGACTGAGCCTCAACAGCATCAATGCTTCCCTGGTTGTGCCATTGTGCCATTGTGCCATTGTGCCATTGTGCCATTGTGCCATTGTGCCATTGTGCCATTATATATATATATATATATATATATATATATATATTTTTTTTTTTTTATCCGGAGATGAGCTGGCCATCCACCCTGCAACCGGATGCCAGGAGCGGGTCTCGAGCCTCCTGGCCCAGTTTGATTGGGACGACGCGACGATCACCAAGGATCCAAATGACCATTCAAAACACAACTTTTAAGCACTGCAAAAACCTGGGCAGCTCTTCAGCAGGACCGGTTCCTGGCCATCATGGACAACGAGAAGGCGGCGGAGTACCTGCAAGAGGCGGGCATCGATGTAGTGGGCCACTCTGCTGCACCCAGACACTCAGAAGAAGCCTGAGGGAATTTTAGCCTCCTGTGGCCCCTGCCTTGGTCACATCAAGGTCTCGTGGATCTTGCCGAGTACATCTTCCAATCTGACCTCCATGGGTATGAGTTCAATCGCAAGCTCAGCTTCAACGACTTCATGAAGCCGCTTGGCAGCTTCCCGCGTGCGCCTCTGCGCCTTTGAAAAGAGGAGGGGGGGCTCTGTGTTATACGTCACAGGAACTTCAGCAGCTGAGCCCAAGTGTAAACGCGCAGCCCTAGCTCTACAGACCTGACACCGTTCCATCTACAGCCGCGCGTCGTAATCTGTGACCTGTGCAACATCTGCCGGCGGCGACCAGCTCCAGAAGGGAAGTCTCGTACAGCTCTGCCGGCGTTGCAAACATGAAGCTAGCAGATTCGGTTCTAGCTTTCACTTGGCGTATGAAAGCTTGCTACTTGTACCGGTGTATTCGTCTCGAGATGGCAAGTACGGCCGTTCAGATTCCACAAACGGTGATAGCAACACCAGCAGCAAGAAATTAAAACGATTGGAAGTAGAAGTTGTGGTCTGTGGTGGTCGCTGTGCTTCTGGTGGGCCGATGAAGTGTGTACCAGCATATGGAAGAGAGCATGGGAATCAAGGCTGCTCCTCTCTCTGCGGGGCGGCAATGATGTGAAGTTGAAGGACATCATCGACCTCAGGAAGTACATGAACACCCACACGAACATGTTCAACAGCCACATTGCCAAGATGGACCCTCTGGCTGCATTTCCCTAAGCCCTCAGCCAGCTGGCAGCTCTCTTAGGGCCTATAGACTCCTCTTGACTCTGCAAAAAGGCCCTTGTGCCGCATGGCCACGGGCTTCGAGTGTTTCACAAGAGCAAACTCTGAGGAACTCCGGCTGCGGCAGATCGAGCGCAAGCTGCCCCCAACCAGCGCCACCAGCGTCTCCCGGCTCCAGGGGGTCCAGGGTTGGGTGCCAACGAACAAATAGCGGCACCAGCAACACAAGAGTAACACAAGTGATTATAATTGTTGCAGCAGTTCAAAGAAGCGCGTCATCGTAGTGCGAACTGTAGCAACGAGCATTGAGCAACGCGGGTAAGTGGTAGTTCTGGTGATAATGGGCCTTTCGGCCTTTCTTCCAGGATTGTTTTTGTTAGGAAGGCTAGGGTACCGAAAAAGACCCATCATGTGTGGGCATTCCCGCTATCATTTTGGACTTATTGTTGGGTGCCTGTCGCCCGAGGGCTCCAGTCAGAAGATGGCAGCAGGCTGGCGGAAAGGGTGAAGAGGGCGGAATAATGGGTGCTTCAAGAGGGAAGTGGCAGGGGTTTCGGGGCCTTGGATGGACGCGTGGGGTGTCAGGGATTGACGCCAGTTTCCCTAGTTTCCAGTCCTCACCCCTTTTGAAGCAGGTGGTGATGGCGGGACCAAGGCGCGGAGAGGGGGAGAGAGATGGGGAAAGGGGGGGGAAGAGCCACCCATTCTGCGGGGGCTTGGGGGGAACTCTCCCCAAACTCCTGGGACCCGAAAGCTTGGGAAGCAATGCGCTGAGGACTCCCTGGACCGAGCTGCTGCCTTGCAAATGGGACCCTAAACCCTAAACCCTAAACCCTAAACCCTAAACCCTAAACCCTAAACCCTAAACCCTAAACCCTAAACCCTAAACCCTTAACCCTTAACCCTTAACCCTTAACCCTTAACCCTTAACCCTTAACCCTTAACCCTAAACCCTTAACCCTTAACCCTTAACCCTTAACCCTTAACCCTTAACCCTTAACCCTTAACCCTTAACCCTTAACCCTTAACCCTTAACCCTTAACCCTTAACCCTTAACCCTTAACCCTTAACCCTTAACCCTTAACCCTTAACCCTTAACCCTTAAACCCTAAACCCTAAACCCTTAACCCTTAACCCTTAACCCTTAACCCTTAACCCTTAACCCTTAACCCTTAAACCCTAAACCCTAAACCCTAAACCCTATCATGTGGATCTTGAGCTGACAGCCTTCATTTTGAGCAGCAGCGCGGTAACGATCTGAAAGATTGAGGCTGCAGACTTCTTTCGGAGCGAAAGCCACCTGAGCCATTTTACCTTTGACTCCGATACGGTCATGCCGCTGGGCAGGAAGGCATGAAAGAGCAGAGGGAAAGTGCAAGGTTGAGGAGGCTCTGGGGTGTGCACGAGGGGTTTGCACGAGGGGCGTGGCCAATGAGAAGTGCTCTCTAGTGAGTCGCCCCGAGAAGTGAAAGGCTTGAGGCCGGCATCTCCATGTGCTTTCGGCACTCTCGCTTCTCGGACAAGGTTCGTGGAACACGGTTCTGGCAGAAGCCCTGGAGGAGCTGGTGGCTCTGCTGCTTTTCTGAAGAAGCATCACAGAGAACATCCCAGTCCGCGCACCAAGCGCCCCTCGCGCAGTGCCCGTGCAGTGCCCTCGCGCAGTGCTCAGGAATTCTTTCCGGAGACACCGGAGAATCACCACAGGCCTCCAGACTCGAGCTCTGCGGCCCTCCGCCGCGCTGAGGCCGAGCAGAGAATGTGACATCTAAACACAATGCCACATGTTTGAGGGTTCAATGATGTCCGAAAGCAGCCTGTCGTGACCGGTATGAGAAGTACATTTGATGAGAGAGCTTGTGCATCACGTGCCTTCGAGCCCCATGGACATCATCGGGCTCGGACATGTTTTTCAGGTGCTCCTGGTTGATGCGCTCAAAGGTTGCCGCCTGGGTCCCGGAGTCACAGTAGCTGACAGTCGGCCCTCAGGGCATGTTCAGGACATGTCACTCAGAGGCCATTCCAGAGATCCCAAACCCCGAAGCCCCAAATGCCCTAAATGCTCATCCCAAGGAGAAGCCATGCTGCAGACCAGCTCATTCGGCAAGGGCGCTGGCGGAGCCCCGTGACCTAGCGCAACTCCAGTTGTGCCCTCTCAGATGCGGCTTGTGAGGCTCATCTAGGCTCTCTGAAGCTTGTGCTTGAGGGTGTCATGGCTCTGTTTCGTAGCCAGCTTCATCAGCGAGCCTTCATGGTGCCTGCATGTGCCTGCACTGCAGTCACTCGCCCTTTTCCTCGCTTCGACATGCGAAGCACCCGGAAAAGAAGCAACTAGGCAGCAAGAAGACGCGCCCCAGCTTTGTACATGGCAACAGACGGTACAGCAATTAGATTCTGTAGATATGTGCTCCACTTGTGCGTCGAGCATACGACGCCGTTGTGCTCATACTGTGTCCCGAGGCTGGCCCTGACGGCTGGCGAGTGGCCTGTGTCGTTGTGACGCCCGTTTCTTGGAGCTGCCTCTCTCCCCGAAGGGACAGAGAGGACCCCCAGAACCTGCCTGCAAGAGACCGCAAACCTACCCGAACACACAGCCCAGGCCCAAAGCAAGTCCATTGTTAATGCTGATGTGTCCCGGCCGTTGGTTGGATGGCTGCGGGACCGGATGTAGAGGATGGCTGGCAGCGTGAGCAGAAGACTTTAGCATATCACATGTTTGGTTGGTGCAGTACTGTATCGAGTGTCCAGATGGACGCAGGCCGAGTTGCAGGTTTTGAGCCAAGGGGGCTTCAGGCGGGCAACTCTACCGGAATTTGGCTACGGTAAACAGGTAAACCTGTCTCGACTAATTATAACTTGGCCCAGCTTGTATCTCTTCGTTGTACCACCGCAATACAGGATATGCGCACCTGGACTGGCGGGATCTGTAGAGAGTAGGTCCGGCCGCCCTCGCCTGAAGGCATACCCATTCGCGCGCAAAAACGGGGTGCACGCATTTTTTCGGAGTTGACCACCAGCAGTTTGATGTTGTTCAGCTGGTTAGGGTTTAGGATTTAACCAGGCCTTGCAACCTCCACCGCCCAGTGCGGCGCACGCTGCCCGCCAGCTTCCACGTCCGTTTTGCCAAGCTGGGCTCAAGAGAGTCCTGGTTAATTTCCGATGCTTCCTTATAAGCCTGGCGTGGTGTTGTGGGATGCACGGCCAAGGCCATTGGCAAGCATGAGGGCCTCGCAAGCGGTGTGCCGACCGAAGTCCGCAAGAAGAGCGTCACTGTGTTTAGTGAACTTACATAGTTGGAGAATACCAGGAGTTTTTGGGAACGTTAGAGATCCGTGCAGCGAGAGTTTCGAAGATTTATAGTCCGAGTCAGGGAGCGAGGGTGGGAGATGATGCTATCTCATATGATCCCATCCTGGCTCCCGGCCGAGCTGATTTTCAAGCCACAAGCCAAGCCACTTAGTGGCTCATGGCTCATACATCACCAAACGCCCGCTCTAGCTTCCGGGTCCCGGAAATCGGTGGAGTAAAGAGTTACAAAGAATTGCGGAGGTGCGGTTTGTGAAGATGTATGTAGCAGGCTGACAGTGGCGCAGGGAGACTCGCCCACCACAATAGATCATTCCCCATCGGAATGCATCGATAATCCTCTTACGGCCCCGATGAACCGAGTCTGACTCGGTGCTTTTCGCGGGGAAAAGGGTGCTGTTCAACGGGCATGTGAGTGCTAACTTTAGCAAGAGCTGAAAGGCGATCCTGCTGGTGCACAGAACAAGTATGACTGGAACCGAGGTTGGCAATGCTAGAGGCTGCAGGCGTGGCCGCTTCCCTTTTTTGGCACGCCCTGTGCAACCACACACAAGAACGTCCGCTGCCTTCTGCCTCTTCAGCCAGGCTGCCCGCTGCCGTCCTGTCTCGAGACAGACAAGGCAAGGTCCTCGCCGTGCCCCCTTCTCTCGGGGCTGGCCGACAGTTCCTCTTGCTGTGTTGTCAGAC